GTATTGTGACTATTCTTATAGTGAATCTCTTGAGAAACCATAAGCTCTTCCCTCTTTGAGTGGGACCCGTCCCAAAAAAGATCCAGCAGTGTATAAATTACTGGGCACAATTTCTCCCATGGCTGGTATATTGGGTGACTTCTCCCGACTCCATGGCACCTCAAGTGAGAGAATTAAGTCACGTAGTCAATAACTTCAATTCCCACAGCCTAATCTCTGCTCCATTCCCCAAGACAAACATTAGAAGACAGCTCCCTGCAATTTTTCTCCCATTTGGCAAGACATGTGGTCAGGAAAGGAATGGAGTCTTTCAAATAGATCACATTTGGGACCTTTAGAGGTAAAGGGATGTCCAAGCTCCTTTGATTCCTGGTCCTTCCTGATTACAAGAGTGAGTGCCCTAAATGCTCAAGCAACTGACTTGGGAAAGTTATAACCTCAGCTGGCCCCCAGCTCTAACCCTAAAAAGCTACTAATCCCCTACAATCTCAAGTATTATTAAGAACCAGCCTTAATATTCTTCCCAGGGGCCCAGAAGAGAAACTACGAATGGCGAGTCAGGAAAAGAATCTATGTACACCAAGCTCTTTTGTCCGTTTACTTTATTTCTCTAAGACAAAATTCTGTCTACACAGCTTCAGGTCCATCCTCACATTCAGCTCCTCTCTGTCCCTTCTTTTTTCTGTCTCCTCAGAACTTTAGTAAGCTATGCTTTCGATCTCATCTTTGTCTTCAGTTCCTTCATCCTCCATCTTTCCTCCCTCTTCTCCTCTCCTGACCTGATTCACCTACAATCAACAAAAAATTTTTCCTTGCTCCTCACTCCTCAGCCTGAGCCACACTCTACAAAAGATCTGCCTTGTTCCTTTCTCTCCAGCCACACAACTCTGTCTTACCATGTACAGAAACTCTCCTTCTCCTCTCCTCCTCTGGCCACACAGCTCTGCCCAGACCAGGAATCCTGCCCCATCCTTCACTCTACCAGGATATGCAAAAACTCCTTTGTTCTGAGTCAATTGCTCTGGAACGCCTTTTTCCCTGTCTGAGCTTCATTTGCACAAGAAACAAAGGTATGCATCTGTAGCCTACCTGTCTCCTAGGCCCTGCAGGGCTGTTACCTAATGGATCAGCAGTAGGTCTGAGAAGCTTAACTGTTTGCCATATGGCCTAGTAGTATATGAGCACACAAGAATTTCATAGCAGAAGACAGCTAATATATTAAAAACTGAATACCACTGGGCGGTGGTGGAGCACGTCTTTAATCCCAGCATGCAGAAGGCAGAGGCATGTGTGTCTCTGTGAGTCTGAGGCCAGCCTGAGCTACAGAGTGAGTTCCTGGAAAGGCACCAAAGCTACACAGAGAAAGCCTGTCTCAAAAAACCAAAAAAGAAGAAAAAAACTGAATACCACAAATATTCCTTGATACATGGCTTTCCTCTACAAAAATTCCTTGACTTTTCTAGGTATATCTTTAATATACAGCTGAATCTCTATAATGTGTTCTTGCGGCCCACTGTACTACACATATTCTCACTTTGGTTTATTGGATATAGAAATTTGCCTGGGAAACTTACTGCCTGTTTCCTAACCCTGAGAGAGAACAGAGAAAGCCATTGCTTATTTAGCCAGTGCAGGAGTAAGGTAGGTAGTTCCCTTTTCGGGCATTTAGAGACAAACCCTGGTTTGTTTGGTTTGGGTGGCCAGAATTCATAAGGCCCCAACCTTGTACTATTTACCATAAATCCCCCTCGTCCTAACCGCTTAGGTGATAGATGAAAATTGTAAATCTACAGAAGTCCCATTTAGTTAGCAACACTGGCAAAGATGCTGGCATGAACGAGACTCCACAGTTTCCTTCCACAGGTATGCCAGTCACCATAGCAACCCTGATGCTGTTCAGTGATGCCATGGCCAGGGGGCAGAGAAAGACTGCCAGCCGCCACGCCCTTATTTGTTTTTCTTTCACATTTTATCTATCACTACCGGATCTTTGATTAAGCACACCTAGAAATTTAGTATCTTGCACTGATGTCCTTATAATTTAGAGCCTATGAAATCAGCCCCTCTGCCTCATAGTGCAGCCCAGTTCACCCTTCTAGCCAGGAACCATAAAAATGCTGACAGTGTCACTGGGGACGGCGCCTACTTGCTTTCTAATCCTTAGAGAAATTCTAGCTCTGTAACTTTGCCATTGCCAGGGAATAGCCTTTGTTTTGTGTGTGTATATAAATTGGAGCACAGAGAAGAAGAAAGAGACATGCAGTGAATATGGCGGAAGCAGATTCGTTCCTTTACCCTCATATCCCTTAGATTTTCCTCGCTTGTTGTAACACCGTTTTTGAACCCTGACAGAGGGCTTTAATGCTGGCCTTTAAAGGAAGGACCACAACAACAACCAAGGGGCTTTTTGGTGAATTTATGCCCCAAAATGTGGACACCAGATGTC